CTAATATTAATTTTTTGGCCAAAATATTTTTGAATTTTTTTCAAAAATTCTCGCGGGAAAATTATTTTTTCTGAATGAAATTAATTCAAATTTTGTGCCAAATTTGAATACAATTTTTGTCCAAATTGTGCCTCCCCCGGTCTAGCAGGTTCAAACAGATGGACAGTTTGCACCAAACATATTTGGTTTATTCTAGATAGATTCAAACTGTTTCAAATAGATTTGAATTTCTTTCTGCACCTATTCAATTCGACATCAGATCTATTCATTTCGAAAAGTACCTGTTTGGCTTTTCGTAAAGGTCACCAATCTGTCTATAAATACTATAATTATTCCAGCAGTTTGTTCAATCCAAAATTCTCTTGTTTTCCTTCAAGTTTTGCTCACTTGCATAAATTCTCTTCATATTAGTTTTAGACAATAATTTCAGAGAGTATAGAACACAAGTTCTAGTTTGCCGTACAGATTGTTTAGAGTGCTACTACAATCTATGTAAGATCATTGTATCCTGAGAGATAGACGCCATTTATCCATAAGCACCGAAACGGGGCGAATTTGTTTTAAGGACAGAATGTCACACACTCGACTCGATCATTTTTCGTACTTAATCATTTCAGTAAATAAATTATGTAAGTAATTTATTTTTATTTGTTTGATTTGGTTTCAAGTTTTTTATTTTATACAGAAGATTGTTCTAACAAATATATATATATATATATATACTCATACTATATATTACTTAAGTGGCAAATGTCTTCTTTGTTAGAATTATGGCTAAGATTTGAGTCTCATTGTCATTTTTATATTATTTTACATAAACAACAGTTATGAGGATATTTTGGAAATGTAATTGTTGGAAATTATGATTTTTATAGGCTTATATTGAGCCAACTTTGAGCTCAAATTTGAGTGGGGCCCACACATCTTTTAAGGTGAGTTTAAAAAGGTAACGTGTTTCTTGCCGCATGGCAAGTCACACAGTGAAGATGGTTCGTCAAAACCATTTATGAATGAATGGGAAGTTGACGTCGTTTTCGAGTTCATGGAATGAAAAATTAAAAGAGTCAAATGTGGGTTACCTTAAAATGGTTGTCTTACATTGAAACTTTAAGAGAGCTTGTGTGTGTATATAAGTTCTAGATGGACAAACTTGGGTTGGGCCCCAAGGGGCATCCCAAGTTTGTAGAAGGGAGAAGTTACGGACAAAGTGGGCTTTGGCTCAAACCACCACACGCGTCGCCATCCGTCCGGTCGGGCTGCGTGCAGGTTGTGGGTTGGGTCCTAACATTAATTTTTTGGACAAGATTTATTTGAATTTTTTCCAAAAATTCTTGCGAGAAAATTTGAATTTTGCACTAAACAGTTTGAATTCAAATTTTGTTTTTGCTCTCAATCAGTGTGTCTTTTCCAAACCAGTCCAAACAGATTTTTCAACTTGTTTTAACCGATTGCACCCGGATAGATTTAATTTCTTCCCAGACAGATTCAAAACTGTTTCAACAGTTTGCACCTGTTCAATTCGAAATCAAACCTGTTCAATTTGAAATTTCACCCGTTCGGTTCCCTGTTAGACTTGTTTAGGTCTTCCGAAAAGGCACCAACTTGCCTATAAATTAAGACTCTCTCCCAACATTTTGTTCATTCCGAAAATTCAATACTCTTCCATTTTGCTCTCTTTTTACATTATTCTTCATACTAGTTTTTTAGAGAAATTTCTGAGAGTATAGAACACAGGTTCTAGTTTTCCGAACAGATAATTTTTAGTGCTAATACAATCTGTGAAAGATCATTGTATCCTGAGAGATAGACACCATTATTCCATAAGCACTTGAGCGGGGCGAATCTGTCTTAAGGATAGAGTATCACACACTCGACTTGATCATTTTTATTGTTAAGTTGTTTCGGTAAATAAATTCTGTAAGTAATTTATTTTTGTTTGTTTGATTTGTTTCAAATTATTTATTATATACAGAAGATTGTTCCAACAGTAATCAATTATAGAGGTATTTTGGGAATAGAAATTATGAAACAAAGAAAGTGTCAACCCTAATTCTGGTGTTCTCATGTGGAATAAAATTGATAACTAATTAGGTCTAACTTAGGGCTGGTTTGGCATCACCTACAAAAGAAAAAAAAGCCAAAAAATCACTAAAAAAGCAAAAAAGTTCATACTATTCACCTTATTTTGGCGAAAAATCTGTCGGGTATAAAAAAAAACAGCCACAAATTACCATAAATGAAAATAGTGTAACCACAAATGCCCATAAAAAAAGAAAATGTGGCACAATGTAAGCCACAAATTCCCGTAAAAAAATTTTTTTTTGACATGCATGGAAAATCAACGCAGTGTTGCTGACTGTGTCAGGAAGGGTAATCCGATAATTTCGATATTTGCTACAATATTTTATTACACATTTTTTCATAAAAAATCAAAAAAAATTCCCAAACATACATATTTTTTTTCTCTACTTTTTTAGTTAAAAAGTCAAAAAGTACACTTGTATAGATCATTCCAAACAACCACTTAATTGGCTACCATGATTTTTCTAAGTATTTAGTCCGTAGGGAAGTCATGAGTTTAACTCCAAAGTTGAATTAAAAGGGCAAGTACTTGATACTTTGTATAGGGTGGGGAGACTAACTCCTATATGTATTAACCTAATAATCAACAACCAATTTTCGCCGATCAAAATATATAACAAAATATATAGATAATAATTGAATAGATAGATAAATATAGGCCTATTTTGGGAAGAAAGAAAAAAATCTTGCTTTTGACTTATTTTCAAGTGGTCAAAAGCCAACTTATTTGAGCAAAAAAGCAATTGAGAAGTTAGAAATCAGCCAACAAGCAAAATTATCAAAATACCATCGTGTGTGAATAATCCCAAAATAAAAAAATAAAAAATTGCATAAGAGTAACTAGCATATAAACCCGTGCGATGCACATGCTAAATAAATAATTAAAAATAATTTTAAAATTAAATAATAACATAAAATTTATTTAAAAAGTATAGAAAAATAATTTAGAATGAATCAAATTTTAACCATTTTATTAGAATATATATTGTAGTTGTTATATCATTAATTATATATTTTAAGCTCATAATAAGAAATAGATGTCATAATTTAATTTGTAAAGATGAAAAAAACTAGAATAAATTAAAAAATATATATATATATTTATGATAAAATTAAATTAAATTTCATTTTATAATTTTTTTAGTTTTAGTTTATTCTATGTTAAAGTTTCTCATAAAACTTAAACATACCTTTTAGAAATAAAAATATAAATATATATTGATAAAATCGGTCAAAAGACCAACTAACGTACACAAAAATTAATTAATTAAAACTTTTTAATTTTATTTTATTTCAAAATTTAAATTGTTTTCAATTGAAATATGCGCAACATTACAATATTAAATGGGAGCATATGTTTACTTTATATAGCTAAAATAACTCACTTTTTCCTTCTTTTCCTGAGTTGGGATTGTATAAAATAAAAATTAACAATTGTTTGGGGGGAGTTTATTTTGAATTAAACAATATCAGTTATTTTAATTTTAAAATTTAAACTATCTTTAACTGAAACGTGCACAACACTACAATATTAAATGGAAGCATGAAGGTTCATTTTATATAAGTGAAACAACTCACTTTTTCCTTCTTTTTCCAATGTGAGATTGTAAAATAAAAATTAACAATAACTCACTTTTTCCTTCTTTTCCCAGTGTAAGATTATAAAATAAATCATATCATAAACTAATTAGATTTTTTATTTTAAAATTTAAATTTTCTTGAACTGAATTATGTATAATACTACAATATTAAATGAGATTATAAGATTTATTTTATATAAATGAAACAACTCATTTTTTCCTTCTTCTCCCAATGTGGGATTATAAAATAAATCATAAACTAATTAGAGTTTTATTTTTATATGGTTAAATGAAAGTTAATCAATGAAAATTTTTTAATTGTTTAAAATTAAGAAAATCAATATGAGAAATCGTAGTTAAATCGGTGAATCAATCAAAACCGAAAATGGTTCAACCTAATCGGTTAGCTCAAATGACCAACTAACTTATACAAAAATTAATTAATTAAAACTTTTAAATGTTATTTTAATTTAAAATTTAAATTGTCTTGAATTGAAATATGCACAACACTACAATATTAATGTTTACTTTATATAAGTGAAACAATTCACTTTTTTCTTCTTTTTCTAATGTGGGATTATAAAATAAAAGTTAACAATTATTTGGGGCGGGATGTATATTTCTAATCAAACAATCTTAATTGTTTAATTTTTAATCAGATCAATCTTTAGTTTATTTTGAATCAAACAAATATATTTTGATAAAACTACTACGATCACAATTAAACTAACAAACCAGTCAAATCAAAAATGATTCAGCCTAATTGGTTAGATTAAAAAACCAACCAACTTATACAAAATTAATTAATCAAAACTTTTAAATTTTGTTTTAAAATTTAAACTATATTGAATGATGCACAACACTACACTATTAAATGAGAGTATAAGATTCACTTTAACTCACTTTTTTCTTCTTCTACTGATGTGGGATTATCAAATAAATCATGGACTAATTAAAATTTTATTTTTGTATGGTTAAATAGAAATTAGCCAATGAAGATTTTTTTAATTGTTTAAAATTAAGAAAATCAAAAAAATTAGTATGAAATATTAAAACTCTCACAAGACTCCTCACTAAAAACTTATTTTCGTTGTATAATATATATATTCATTTATTTATTTATTGATGATTGATATGATCAATTTACAATTTTGCAAGTAATGTGATACCATATTAAAATAATTTTGAAAAAAAAAAAAAGAAAGCTGGTTATTTCCATCTTCCTAACAATTTTATGAATAAGTCAAAAAATAAGTAAATAAGCAAAAAAAAAAATTGTTTATTCTATCTACCGCAAAATAAGCCCTAGAGGGACAGAGTGTGTAAGATACAACATACCAGACGATTTGTCGATACGTTGGTTTAAGTTGATACCTGAAATAATTAAAACATTAAAATTAACATATGCGCAATGCAACAAGCGGAAGAGTCTAGGGCAAATTATATTGGTAGTGTCATTTTTGGTCTTTGATCTTTAATTTTTGTATTATTTTAGTTTTCTTAATTTTAATTGGCTTGATTTTGATTTTGATTTTAAATTTTAAATTTTATTTTAATTTGATCCAGTTAATTATAATTGTTAGCATTATTTTATAAAAAAATTTGCACATAAGTGACATGTGTCATATTTTGAGGAGTAAAATTGTAAACTTGATCAATTCGTAATTAACCTCGAGAAACTCAGTGACCGTTTTCATAAAAAAATCTTAATGGCGTTGTCAATGTTTTAAAAACCAAACTGGTAAGCGAACTAGAAAAGGGATCGGGTGGATGAGTCGCCAATTCAACCATCCGGTCGAATCGGAATCAAATCGTGATGTCATAATTATTTTATAAATATATTAAAATTTATTTAATAATAATATAAGAATTAAGATACATTTATTTAAATTATTTTTAAATTTTAAGATAAATTTATAATTACATAAACATATTTATATTTATTTTTTGTAAAATATATTAATTATACTTAATGTTCGAAAGAAAATGTTATAAATATATATATTTATCAAATATAAACAAAAGTTGAATGTGACATGGTGGTTATTTGTTATACTATTTCTACGTGGTTATGTGTTTGACTCTTTCCAGTAACAAAGTATTGCAAATTTTCTTATCATTTTCCCAAAATGGGAGCTCGACCGGTTTTGTTCAACCCGTTCTGGGTCAATCAGTTCAACCGCGGTTTTGGCCAATTTAATGAAAAAATAGAGCGACTTTCAACATCAAACTCTTCCAAACAACAAAGTATTGCAAATGTTCTTATCATTTTTGCAAAATGGGAGGCTGACCGGTTTTATTGAATCCATTCTTGGTTGACCCGTTCAACTGCAGTTCTAGCCGGTTTAATGAAAATAGAATGGTTTTTCAATATCAAACAGTTCAACCGGCCAGTTCGGTATGATTTTATCAAAACATTGGACATTGTCAAGTGGACTAAATTGACACAAAATTTAAAAGGTAAATGACAAGTGGGTTTTTTACATTTTATATCTCTAAACTATCGTCAAAAATTTAAAGGGTAAATTACAAATGAGTTTATCACACTTTCTATTCCTAAACTATCATCAAATTGTCTATTTAGTTCCTGAACTATTGATTGAATCAATTAAGTCCCTAAAATGATTATAAAAAAAAAGTATATATAAATCAAAAGCTATTTAATCCATAACTTATCAATTAAATATATTAAGTTCCTAAAATATTTAATTAAAACATATTTAATCCTTAAAAGGATTACAAAAATAAAATATGAGAGGGGATTTTTCACGGAACTAAATTGGGCTGAGCTATTAATAGTGTGGGGTTGCTTTGGGCCGAGCTACGAGTTGGTCAGCCTGAAGGCTAGGGCCGAATGTTGGGCACAGCTTTAGGGTGTTGACCCGGCAAACTTGGTCTTAAGGCGTTGATCGTACAAAGAGATTTCCATAAATCCAGTCGGCCTAAACGAGGTTTGACCGGTTTGATTGGGTCTTTGACTGGTGGAGTGGGTCTAGTGGTAGCCGTGACCCGACAAACATAGCATGATCTTGTCAAAGGGTTTCAGCTCGGCTGACCTAGCTGAATGAAGCAAGACCAGGTTAATGGAGTCACACAGTTGAGAGCAACCGGGCAGATAGCTTGCTCGGTTCGATTTTCCGGTCTGAGAGTTGTATCGTTTTACTTGAACTTTGGAATTAATCCTTAGGAAGTAGACTCCTGGTAGGATTTTATGAGTGAGAATTAATATCTTATTAAAATTCTACCTTGCGGAATATACAAAAGGTTCTGAGTTAATCTAATGAAAGTAATGTAATTTTACTCACCGAATTTATAGATCTTTTCCCTTATATTGATCTTAAGAGCTAACTTAAATATCGAAGGAGTTTTCCGGTACATATCCGTCGGTAAACTCATTTGAGTTGTGTTTTTAGGTCAAACAATATCTATTAGAATATAATATGTAAAGTGCTACTTTAATAATTAGGTTAGTATAATAATTAGTATGCTTTAATAATGTACCTTTAATAATGTTGTTTGGTTTGTGCTTCTACTTTAGGTTTGTAATTGTTCTCCCTCTCCTCTATAAAGGAGAGAGCTCAACACAACATATCAATACATCTATCAATACACAATTTATTCTTTCCTTTTTATCTATACATGTTATACATTAAATCTTACATGGTATCAGAGCTAGGTTAAGAATTTAGTAATTTCGTTTCACCGGCGGGCAGCAATCTCGCCTTGGCCGCCCGCCGGACAAACCCAAATTTCCTTAATTTCTTCTTTCGTGGCAGATTCAACAACAACAACAACCACCACCACTGTCCTCTGCACATCTCCGCCGCAGCCTCAGTCCAATGGACGCTCATCGGTGCACAATTCACCTCATCCCATTCGGCTTCCAACAACAACAACCCGCCACCACGTTCCTCTTCTCACTGTTGTCACCACTGTCAACCTTAACCCATCGATGTCGTCCCTTCAATCTGACCAACAGTTGGACACACATCACACAGGGCAACCTCTCTCTCTCTCTCTCCATATGCAGCAATGGAGAAAGGGCAAACCTCCTCAATCGCCGAAGAAAACCAACAATCCAACGAAACCACCACCACCCACCACCTGAACCCTCCACCAGGTCCAACCCAGACCGGCTCACTCTCATCTCTCTCTAGCTGGGTCTCTCTCTCCATAGACACACCGCACAGGCAGACACACAGTAGCCACACACACACATAACACACAAAGGCACACCCATGCACACGGGCACACACCTAGCATAACCACCACACGGCAGACCACCACACGGCAGACCCAACAGACCATTCACACACACGGTTTTAGAGAGAGAGCAGCACGCACAGACATACATGCATAAACTCTCTCTGAGATGAAGAGACCAACCTCTCTCTCTCGGCAACTCCCTCTTCGGTTTCTCTCTGCACCACCCAAATACATCTATATATATATATATATATGTGGTCACTAACACCACACTTGCACCAATCTACTTGGATCCAGTTGTTAGTGCTTTAACACATGGGAACCAAATGTTTCTGTTGAGAGTGGTATTTTACCCGATGGATACTGATACATTGAACACATAGCCAAGACAGATTCCCATACCCAACACACCACATTATTATGCTTCCCACTCTCCCCCACATTCTTTATTTTATATATATATATCTTTCTTTTTATTACTTTTTATTATATTATATTACCCCACTCCACTTTCTCTTATTTTAATATATATATATATATCTATGTATATTTTTTTTTACTCTCTTACCCAACGTTCTCCCTCTGTACACTTTTGCAGTCTATGCTTTCTATCTTCCTATATTATTATTATTCTTATTCTTATTAAACAAAAAAAAAAAAAAAAAAAAAAAAAAAATTCACACCCAACTCGTTTTCCTTCCACAAACTTGTCATTTCTTCATGCCGGGGATCAACCCCGATCAGAATTTTACACCCAAAACATTAAAACAAAACAAAAAAAAAAAAAACAAAAAATAAAATAAAATAAAAACAAAACACACAAAACAACTACATCCACAGGCGGAATTTTTCTTCTCTACTCTGCCGCCGGTCTCTTCTTCTTGCCTCCGTCCTGGACGGCCCTTGACAGTGTTGCCTCCGTGTTTCCCACGCCGCCAAGCACGTTCACTCCCCCCTGCTCCTCCACTGCAGCATATGGCGGACCTCCAAATCGGAACATCACGGTGGCCTTCCGCTTCAGCTCCTTATTTTCCGCCTTTAGCACACTTATCTCTGCTCGCGCATCCTTATACATGCGTTAGAGCAGAGCCAGTTGGGCGTTTAACTGTTGCACCTCATTTGTCCTACTCTGCAGCCGGTGCGACAAGTTTGTGACCGCAGTCATGGTTTCCACACATGACTTTAATGTATACTGATTGGCTTCAATATCCGTTTGCACTGCCATTCTTTGCTCCACAGACCGCATCGAAAAATTCAACGGCGCAAAACCAGCAGCGCTTGGTTGAGGTTCAAGGGCCATCGCACTGGTTATCTCTCTTGTGGACTCGTTGAAGTCGGGAAAGAGAGTGAGCAGACCACGGCAAGAGGAGGCCCTGTTCTGGGTAGCTGGACGGGAAGAAGAGGCCATGTTATGGGTTGCTGAGTGTTTCAGAGAAGGGTTGGTTACAGAGTGTTTACAGAGTGTTTCAGAATGCAAATGTTCAGAGGTTTCAGTCTGGTTTGCACAGCCTCCGCCTCAACCTTGGTTTAAATAGCCAGCGCCGATACGCGTATCGCGCGCCACTTGACGCCAGACGACAAAACGGGCGCGCAAGCCAAGGTAGTCATGCGCCTCGCCATAATGTCCGGCACACCTTTTTATGGATTAGGCACGCCTTTTGATGGCACGCCTTTTGAAAGATTGGGCACACCTTTTGAGGGTGCAATTTTTACAACGGTCCGACATGACCCCATAAACTGTCCCGACATTGATTCAGGTCAGCTTCTACAACAGTCCGGCATGACCCCATAAACTGTCCCGACATTGATTCCGGTCAGCTTCTACAACGGTCCGGCATGACCCCATAAACTGTCCCGACATTAATTCCGATTAGCTTCTACAACGGTCCGGCATGACCCCGTAAACTGTCCCGACATTGATTCCGGTTAGCTCCTACAACGGTCTGACACGACCATACAGTGTCTTCACCAACGGTCTGACACAACCATACAGTGTCTCCTATCCTATTTTATTTTATTTTATTTTTCTACTCTCTCCAAACTCAAGTTGGTTGGTTCCTATCCTCCTTGAGTTTGAGGGGGGCTGTTAGAATATAATATGTAAAGTGCTACTTTAATAATTAGGTTAGTATAATAATTAGTATGCTTCAATAATGTACCTTTAATAATGTTGTTTGGTTTGTGCTTCTACTTTAGGTTTGTAATTGTTCTCTCTCTCCTCTATAAAGGAGAGAGCTCAACACAACATATCAATACATCTATCAATACACAATTTATTCTTTCCCTTTTATCTATACATGTTATACATTAAATCTTACAATATCGTTTGAAGGAGTTCGAGCTTGAAGTACACATGCGGGATTTATTTTGTGCCCGTACAAAATATATGTCCATAGGTATTATAAATTAGTAAAGATCTTCCTAATTAAGATTTTATTATAAAAAAAATCTTTTTATTTTTATTTTATCTTTAAAAGGTATTTTATTTCTATGTGTTTAAAATTAATATTGGAGTCTAATTTTCATTCTTATCAATAAATTATATGAATATTAGATATATTGACGAAGTAGGTTTAGATAATTTTAATAATAATACTTCTCTACAAGTAGTAATAGATCAAAATAATACATTAATTAAGTAATAAAAAGAATTTCGTGAAAAACTTAAAAACAATCAATTAAAAATTATAAACTAAATCGGATATATGATATTACACGTATTCATTGTACAAGATAAGTAAGAAAATGTTATAGATAATTACTCTGATCCTTATAGAGGAAATTCAATATATGAATTGACACCCACTTTTAAAGACAGAATAAAAATTTATTTTTTGAAATAAAATTTTAACTAGATAAGGTTTTTTAGTAATTTATAATATTTATGGGCTTATCTTTTATTTTTTTTTAATACTTTTAAGGACTAAATAAGTTTGAAAAATATATTTTAGGGACTTAATGGATTCAATCAATAGTTTAGGGACTAAATAGACAATTTTGCTATAGTTTAGGAATATAAACCATTTGTTTAAAATACGAATTGCCTCATATAGTTTAGAAAATTACAAATATCCCTTTCTTAAATTTTTTTATTTAACATAATTAACTAAGTATATGAAATTTCGTACTGCTTTCATATACAATAATAAAATTACCTAAATTATTAATTAAAATAAAATTTTGATATCATAAAAAACTGTTAATTGACTTGATAATTTATTAATAAAATGAATAATTTGTTATAAAATTAGAAATTTCAAAGAACGGGATGTAATTTCTAGAATTGCAAAGAATAATTTATATTTTAAATAAATCTCAAGAGTATATTTGTAATTTATCAAAAAAGTAGAGATCAAAATAATACAAAAAAAAGTAAAATGTAAGAAATACAGTATAACTTGGCCAAGAATATATAAAGTAAAGATGAGATAAGACATAAGACCTACCGGGTGACTTCTTCTTTTGGGTTCGGGTCACCGAGTTTTGCATCTTTTCGGTCAAGTAGTACTCGCGAGTTGTCCCAACGTTCCTGATTGTGATAACAATAGCGTTCTAAGCTGTAGTCAAACCTGTCCACAGCAAGCCAGTGGCGTTCTTCGTGTAAAACGATCATACATGGCTTAAGAAAGCTGTCACCTTTGAGATTTGATAGATTATCACGAACATCCTCAGCTTTACTCTTTGTTTCAAAGCACAGAAAGGACTTTTCGACCGAGATACCATCTATCTCAATCTTACCATGCCGAATATGAGCTTCATGTCCATTCTCAAATGCATAACGTGTTAAGCATCGATCAGCTGGTATATCAACCTAGAAATTTTTTTATAAGATGAAATTTTATTCAAGAAAAAAGCGTTACACACAGATGATAAAAGAAAGCATAGGAAAAACTGAACTGCAGACATATATAGTCATAGACACCGCGGACAGATCCATAGTTTTCATATGAGGGGACAAATATATGTATTAACAAATATTTTAAAAAGAAAGTATGAATTGTAATATTAATTTTACTAGTATAAAAATGAAAATAAGATGAAAATAGATATAAATAACATCTTTTTTGTATCCACATATAGTTACAAAATAGAGCAACTATAAAACAATCTATGTATCAAAGTCCCACATCTTCAGTTGTGTTCGACATTCTTTCGTGTCATTAAAAATGGAATGAAGTGTGGTGCCGTGACTTTGGCACAACAATCACTATTGTTCGGGCTATGGGCCCCCTCTAGGTCTCATTTCGATGATTGAAACTATTCATTTTTTAGAGTATGCCGAGTAGAACATTCCTACAAAACATTAAGTTAATCGGACATCAGTAGCACTATGATCAAATCAATTTTGTATTAGCAAAAATAAACGATAAGTATAAAATTGAATACAAAAGTGATTTGATTTTAGTGTTACCGATGTTCGATCAATTTGATTTTTTATAGAAATGTTTTACTTGGCATATTATAAAATATGAACGGTTTAGATCATCGAAGTGGGACCCGAAATGGGCCCCATAGCTCGAATAGCAATGACTGTTGTGCCACCCTTCATCCTTAAAAATGTCTATGATAGAATTGACAATTAAACTCCGTACAGTGTCTCTATGAATAAACATGATCAAGTAATTACTTGATGTTTTATTCTATTCTTTACAAACGAGGTGATGCAGTGTGAAACATGAAATCGTTACAATCTTAGAATCCGTTAATTCAAACAATAATACCGGAAGTAATATTCCTCTTTAAACTCGTTGATTCACAAAAAATATCGAGAATAAAGATTCAACAATGGTTGATTCACAAAGAATATCCAAGATTGGAACAAAAGAGTATAAAATTTCAAATATATTAATTCTCAAAAATTGAAGAGGCCTAAGGCTTGCATCTATTAGTTATAAGCAAAGACACACCTAACTTAAATAAGAAACAACCGGAATTGGTAGACTCATAATGAACAATATACAGAAATAAGGAAATATAACGAAAATTATCAAAAATAGAAATATTTCTATAAAATAAAGGAACTACTAATATATGCTTCCACGATCATGGCAGATTTTACTAAATTAGATTCCGAGGCCTGTGCTAGGAGTAATTGAAGTTTCAAATCTTTCCAAAACGAAAAATTTGTGAACTTGACCACCCAAATGATGGAATTTGTCCAAAATCATGGTTTCCATTGATCCACCAAATTTCACGCGATTCTGAGTCCGACCCCTTTTTTGCCTTTGTCTTGCCTACCCCTTTGATCTAAGAATTGTATGACTATTTATGCTACATTACTAGGGCTAACAATAATTTTTAAAAATTATTTTCTTTTATTATATTTTGTTCAGTTATTTATTTATTTATTTTTAATTTTAATATTTTGATGCCATGTTTCATAAAAAGAGAGCGACAGTCACTTAAAAGAGTGTAATAATAAAAAGTAGTTTTTTTGAATCGGGTTGGGGGGGGGGGAATGCCTCTCTGGCCAATCTTTGGTCTTCTGGTAGTAGATGATTTAATTTTATTTTTAGTGCCAACTTATTTAGAATTAGAGAGTTTTGTTGTGATGTTTCGAGCTCTTTTTTTGATTGACGAAACGAAAATAGAAATTTTATTAACAAAATGAGGAAACATTACATAGGCTTAGAATGAGACCTGCATCATTATCCAAATATCACATTCCAACCATGTTGACATCCGATAAAAAAGCAATCATGTGCACTCAAAGCAAAAGAATGGAAACAAAGTTGAAAAAGTTCCGACTCACATTTTGTACATTGCTTTTACTTTACTAATGAAGTTTTCTGTTGTTACCATCTACTTTTTCTTTTTTCTTTTGTTGATAAAAATTATGTGCTTACGATTGTGTAATTAATTTTTATTTTATTTTGTAAGACTAATCTACTCTGTGGACACTACTGTACGAGTATGAAATAATTCTTCTCGTATGATCCTGTTGATCAAGTTTGCACTCCTCCAAACGTCGTCGCTTCACTTCCTGAAAACACAAATGTGAACTAGTCGGCGGGTGTGTGCCGGAGACCTCTCCGATGCCTAAGTCAGAAAGATAAACAAAAAGTTCTGTATATTCGAGAATCAAAATTGTGTTGCATTTACATAGGTTCTGTTGTGAGCTTTTATAACTTTCGCTTGGCACAATCCTAGTAGGACTCTTACTCCTCCATGTTGTGTCCTCCTAGGAATCACACTCCTAAAAGAAAATGCTTATCCTTCAACACCCCTCTCACTGCTTAAACCAAGTGAGATGGTTTTACCCTGGTTGGATAACAGTATTACCGAGCTAATATTAGCCGTTTGTCATACTCAATCCAGTGACTTCACATGTACTGCATAGGTCGGCTATTGTCGGTCTTGGCTGTTGAGACCGAGCTAACTATAGCAAGTTTTGACTGAGCTAACAACAGCAAGGTTCTCCACCAGAAGCCCAAATACCTCGGCTCCGAATACTATGACCGAGGTCATTATCACTACTCCGACCGTGGTGACCGTAACCATACTTGGATCGAGCCAACACTAAGGCCCACCTGCGTAGCCCTTTCCAACACGGCCTGTGAAACAGCCTATTACTACGCCTGGGCCTAGCTCGGCCCTAATGCACATAAAAACTCCCTCTCAATTTCCCCTTAATTCTATCTGCCACGCATGATTTGGGATTACCTTTTTTCCAGCCGAGCTAAAGTTCTTCGCCCCAACTGAGCTAAGAATGGATAGCATTCCACGTAGCCGAGCTGGGCCTAATTATTTTACCTTCGTACTTAGCACGGTCCAACGATCTGTGCTTAACACTTTTCATTTCCACTTTGCAGACTCTGACTAGGTTGGCCAGACACTCCTCTGTATGCCCAACTGAGATACTCAACATCATCTCAACACCGAGCTAGTACCCAGCTAAAGTATACATAATTTAAGTCCACATGGATAAATATAGATTTTTAGTAAACTCTCCAGGGGCTATAGCCGAGTTCCGCAATGACTACAACATCCCTGATGACGTCCACCTTTCCCTCGCCGAACTAGACACAACTCCATGGGGAAAACCGGGCTTCGTTCCCTTCTCCGTTATATCTATTGTGGAGGCCGGTCTCCGTTTTCCCGTTCAACCTCTTCTCTGTGAATTCCTTAAACAAACAGGACTTTGCCCTACCTAGCTTTTCACAAATTCTTACAGAATAATAAATGGCATCGCCGAGCTAAATCGCCGGCTTGGCCTCAATCTCGATTTAGCCGAGCTATTTCACCAATACTCCATCGGCCAGAATGAAGACGGCTGGGTGTATTACTTAAGAATAAGATGCCGCCGAGAGAAAATAATTAAAAATACACTAGACAAAGATGTAAACGACGGCGATTTTTTATGGGTCTCAGGCAACTTCGAAGACCAGGAGGCTCAGATACCGGGCGATTGGATTAATTGGAATAAAGGAGTAGCCGGTATATACACCTCGACTCAGTTTTCTGCGTTCTTTACTCTGTTTATAAATTTTGCGCCGTGCTAACCGTTGTTTTTTTTTTTTCCTTATGCAGACTTAAACCAACTAAAGGCGCAATATAATTACCCCAATCTAGACACACTCCGCACCGCACTGCGATACCGCGATCGAGGTTGGGCTGAGCTACTAAATTTTGAACCGACATATAGATATAGCAGTAAGAGGAGCACCACGGTAACAGACTTCCTTTTGGAACCTTCCCCAGAACCTGATCCTTCTTTGCCCCAAATCAACCTGATCCCATTAACAGAAGAGCAAGAAATGGCCAAGAAGAGAGCGGTTAGGGCCCTCACCACCAAAACAAATCAAACCGAGGTACCACAAGCCGGCCAAACACAAGAGGCCGTGGTAACCCTTTTAACCACCCAGCCTTCATCATCTCGGCCAAGCAAGCGCGCTCGGACTTCCACAACCAAGCCACGCCTTGTTGATGAAGAAGACACCATACTTCCCCAATCCACATGACCAAGCCTCGAACCAACGCGTTCTGACCGGGCTAGCCCGTCAAAGTGGGCGTCGAAGGTGACCTATAAGAACCGAGTTATTTCCAGCACTAACTCGGTGGTCGCAGAAAAAGACCATTCGCTGGCTTTTAACCTTGCCAAGAGCGTATGCCTACCAGCCGATATGGAGCACCACGACCATCTCACCGAGCTGAAGGCTTTTCGCTCGGTAACCAAATCGATGGTGTTAGTAAGTTCTCCCTTTGCTTGTCTTAATTTGTACATCTGTTTGCTCGGTTTTACTCAAAATTGTTTATCTCTCGTTTTGCAGGCCCTACAGAAGAACTATGTCGCTCACAAGTGCGTCTTAGAACTTCGAAAGACCACATGGCAGGCCGTGGCAGAGGCCAATGCTAAATCAGCTGAGCTAGAAGAGTCAAAGCAGAAAATGGCCAAGCTACAAACCTAGTGCCCGACTCACCAGACTAGTCAACTCGGTGGAAGCGGACAAACAAAAGGCCTTGGCTGAGCTGAAGGACCGCTATCTGCGCGAGCTGGCTAAGCTCAAGAAGAAGAAGAACGCCGAGTTAACTGAACTGGAGAAGAAGTTGGAAGACGCAGAAGACCGCGGTTACAAGGAGGGAGAGGCCACGTATATCCAACAATGTGAAGCTGCAAAAGATATATTCTTCAAGTGTGGATGGAAGGCGGCTGTGGCACAGCTCGATCATGGCCAAGAGACCGAGGTCTTCCAGAACCCTCCTCCACATTTCATACCGAGCTACATGGTGGAGTACGCCAACGCCATTCAACAAAAATTTCTTCAAGTTGAGGAAGAAGATGAGGCATCCCCAGAACCCAACAATGCCCCG